CACACATCCACATGAGCTGTGTAAACTATGACGTGCTCTACACACAATAAAGAGTTAGCTTTATTAAGTATCTATTCTTTGTTGGGTGCTCTTCCCTGGTGGCTCAGATAACAAAGAGTCTGCTTGCAAGGTGGGAGACCCAGGTGAGGGAGGAAGATCCCTTGGAGAAGGCAATGGCAACCCACTCCAGTATTCTTGCCTAGAGAATCCCATGGATAGAGGAACCTAGCAGACTACAGTCCATGGGATCACAAAGAGTCGGACATGACTGAGCGACCAACACTTTCACACTTTCATTCTGTATTAGGTGTCTTATTTCTCTTACCTGTATCTGTTCCCTGCTTATTGTTATTATTGTTTTATTGTTATTATCCCAGTCTCACAAACAAGAAAACAGGATCACAGAGGTTAAGTAATTGCTTACAAACCTATCAGTTGCTGGAGTCAGGTCATGATGGCTCCAAAGCCCTTTCTAAGATACCACACCATCCCCTAATGAAGATGGCATTACCACCCTATGTTTAATCCATACCAAAGAGGCCTTTGCATCAACAACTTCAAACCTCCTCTAAGAACACTCATAAAAAATTTCCATCCAGTGGTTCTCTCCAGTGAATATCTGAAATTTCAAGACTGAGCTACACCAACTCCAGGCAAGTCTACCCCAGACCATCTTGGTCAAATCAGCTGCACCTTAATGGATGCTGGTCGGTGTCTGAACAGTAGTCTCTTTTCCAGGGCACTACACAAGCCTGTACTGAACTACATCAACACAGGGTTGAACTACATCCAAATCAATTCTTGAAAAAAGCTCACCATTTCTATATCAAGAGCAACATATTTTTAGACATGACAACCTCAAATCTAGGACACTTAAGCCACAAAAGGACATCTGACTTTGATGTGTTATGTTAGGGACAGGAAGAAGAAATCCTATGACACTGTAAGCTTCTGCCCTGAGGTAACCAACTCTAAAAGACACATGGAAGACCAGGCTCCTTAATCCCACACAGACTCTGATCTTCCTTTTTTTCCACCCCCCTGAACTATTCTACCCAACTTCTAACTCCTTAGAGGCAAAATCCTCAGAGGCCAGACCCTATCTACTCCGACTACTCCCTCAAGGCCCTCTTAACACAAAGAAAAGATTCTACTCCCTCGTATTCCCTCCCTCCCTGCTCCATTGCTTTGGATTAAGTCATGCTAAACTGCACGATATGCAAAGATCTTCAAAGACATCAATACATCATTCAGACACTCAGAACAAAGACATGGTCCAAGGCCTGGCGGAGTCAGGCATGAAGAAAGCCCAAAACAGTGGTTCTATGTGATGAGTGCATGCCTAGAGGTGAGTAAGAGAGCCTGGCACTGACTGTTCTGCTGGTGGCTGGTTGGTGTCCACTCCTTTCAAGTCCCTTGCCTCTTACCTCCAGCACATTCTTGACTCTCCTCCTTATTTCTAGTCACCATATATTCAAAGATACCAGTTGAATATCAACCTGCATCTAAAAGCAACTTTTCTTTAAAAAAAAAAAAAAAAAGCCAATCTAATCAGCCTCAGTGTATAGTATCAATACACTAGAACCAGAAGAATGGGACAGCTCACTCCCAGGGCTTCTTTTGGGATGGAGCTCAAATGTCTTTTCCTGAGCCCACATATTCTTTAGAACTCGGTGCTTTTAATACCATAAAATGGGACTGCTTTTAAAATTCTGGATGACATGCAGTGATCTGTATGGAGTACCAATACTATAGGTACACAGAACCCATAGTAAAGGGCATGCTAAAAAGATGGGGGGAAAAGTGACTGGGTTATTTTGGGGAAATTATCTTCCCCTGGAATGAAGGTGCTAGATGGGGAGAAAGGGGTTGAGGGGAATCTTAAGTATTCCATACACACAGGGAAAAGGACAGGGTCAGCCCTGCTGGCCTCTCCAATCACACCACTTTAAAGGAGTAGACTGCAATTCAGGTGATTGCCCATCCCAGACCCTCTCACAGGCTGGTTGCCTTTGGACACTCTCCAGTGGGCACTCAGACCTCAGTTTCATATTTATTCCAAGTTATGGGAAGGACACTGTCAAGGAGTGGGGCTGATATTTGGAACCATCAACGGACATTTGGGCAATATGAACTCAGCAGACAAACAAATAAAAACGTGTTAAGCCTGAGTAAAAAATCTTAATCACACCACTCAAGTCAGAAGAAAGCCACATATATTTTCTCTTCTTTGGGGCCTTAAACATGCCAATAGAAACAGACTTAACAAGAGTCAGCTGGACCTTTTCATTATTAATTTTATGCATTTGGAAGCTGAACCTGATAATGAGAACAAAATTTTGCAGTTACTTTTTTCTTGTACCTGTTTACCAACATTTAAGCAAAATCAAAGGGCCTCAAAAAATACACAAATCTGATACATTGCTGATGGAAGCATACACTGGTACAACTGTTCCAAGTGTTGTGGAGTTGAGACACATGTCTCACAAGGATTCAAAATGTGCACAGACTTTAATCAAGTATTTCTTATTCTAATTTTTTTTCTGTAATGAACATATATGAATAGTGTTTGGACGAACATATGGAAAGGTGGATGGGTGAGTGGATGGATGGACAGACAGACAATGGATGGAAGGAAAGAAGGATAGGAGGATGGATATTAACCAGATTCAATGGAAGCCATGGGCTGGGCCACACATTAGACTACTTTCTTCTCTCGATTCTCTCCTCCTTTCAATTACTAGATCCAAGTCTGATCCAGAAGCACATTTTCTCTCCCTTTTTAAAATCACTTTGTTTTTGCTTAGGCACTTCCATGACCCCAGAGGCAAGTTGATTAGCAAAAAAAAAAAAAAAATGGAGCCAAAAGTATAATTCACTGCAATTGCAAGTGGACTCCTCTTTCAATGCTAGACTTTTAAAATCACATACATGGAGAAAAATGGCTGGCAGAACTATTTACTAAAGTTGCAACTAAATTTGTAGATAAGATAAATTATTTTAAAAGAAAGAAAGATGGATGAAGGACAAGGAAATAAATAAATAAAAACCTTACTACTAGAGTTTGAGACTACTTCAAATAGAAGTGCCTCAAAATTTCCAGGTAATGAAAGTAGCTGGTTTTCCAGGCTGCATTATGGAATTCCTAGTACAAGGCTCAAAGTGAGGTAAGCATGTCTTGGTGCACTTAGCAAAAGCAATACTCCAGGTTGAGATCAGTCCTTCACATGATGAGCCAAGAGAGGACACACATGTGAAGAACTATGTGAAGAACTCTCAAATAACAAGCTCTAAGTCCCCACCACCAGCCACCCGTCAAGAACCATTCCTGCCAGCAAAGGCTGTGTATTATATTAGGAAAAGGACAAGAACCTATTCAGGAAAAATGTGCCAATACTCACCCATCATTAGCAATTGCACACTCATTCGTTTAACCTTCAGTTGTTCACTGTCTCCTAAACACCAGGCCCTGGAGTGGGCACTAAGGATTCGACAGTGAGAAGACGTGGTCCCCAAGTGCCCAAGAACTCACAATCAAGGGTGGGAGATATTTTTTTCATTTAAAAAATATTTTAGTGCCAGTGTGTACCAGGTAGATATGGAAACAAAACTAACAAGATCCCAATCTTTATGGAACTGATATTCCAATAAGGAGACACAGGTAAAAAAAAATACTTAAACAACTAATCAATGTGATTTTCAGATAGTGATAAGAGTTATGAAAAAAAACAGAGATGAGTTATGGAGTAGAAGACCTAGTATGGAACTATGGCTCAGGTGGTCAGAGAGGAGGCGGCACCTGAAGTATAAACTGCAGGGTGATAAGCGGTGAGTACATGAGACTCCAGAGCATGGGCAGCACACACCAGGAAACAGACTAAGTGCAGAATGACAGTGACCACGCTCAGAGGAAGCACAGGGCACAGGTGAGCACGTGGAAGGCGCACCAGACCACATCCAGGGGCCATGCTCGGGCCAGCTGGCCTTCAGTCTGCCATAATAGATACAGCCTGTGCCTGGCTCAGGGTAGGGGCTGCAAGGTACTGCAGACAGGAAGCTCAGCCCATGGGCTTAAGGGAATTCAGGCTTAGAAGCAACACATGTGCAACAGATGGACAAGGCTGTTTGGCATGTCCAGGAAACAGGGACTCCCTGGAAACCTGGCAAAGGTGCTGGGACAGAATGCAGATGGTGTATACACTTCTGTCTTACTCTTTCCACCCCAAGCCCCGCCATCATGTCTCCCAACTCTCTCCCAGGTTTAGTCGCTAAGTCATGTCTGACTCTTGTGACCCCATGGACTGTAGCGGGCCAGGCTCCTCTGTCCATGGGATTTCCCACACAAGAATATTGGAGTAGGTTGCCATTTCCTTCTCCAGGGGATCTTCCCAATGCAGGGACTGAACCCAGGTCTCCCTCACTGCAGGCAGCTTCTTTACTATCTGAGCCACTCTCTCTCCCAACACTCCTGTAAAAAAGCTAGAGGAGGCTCAGGGCCCCTGCCTGGAAGAAATGGCTAAGGGCTGACAAGATGTGAAACAGCTAGACCAGCCAGCCCTGGGCCAGGAGTCCATGAGCCAAGTTCCACTCATTCACCGTGTGACCTCAGGCAAGTCCCTTCCTTGCTCTCAGTCTCAGTGTCCCCAAACTGCAAAATGAGAGGGAAGAAGCCTGAGGGTGAGCCCAAGAGTCTACATCTCTAACAAGCTCCTCCACATGATTGCGATACACAACAAAGTCTGAGAATTCACGGACTGTAATTCTATCTTTGCTCCAAAGAGTGAACTGCAATAGGGGTTGCATGCTCGACAGGCCTGGCTGAGGCTGTGGGTCCATCACAATTCTTTGTACCTCCATAGTTCAGAGCAAAGAATCTGGCAGATAAAAGTTCCTTGGGGTGGAGCCTTCTCTTTCCTCCCCCACTCACACCACCACCCTCGACATTCTCCCAGTTAGGACTACAGTCCCACACGTGTGGGTTTATTGTCTGCCCCTCATACCTGTGAACATCGCACAGAAGTAGGGGCTGCAGGCTGCCAGGACCACACGGTGGGCTTCTATCTCGACATCTTCTGCCACAATCATCACATCACACAATAGCTGTTTGCTGTAAGACAACAGTGAGGGGAAAGGATGGGTCACAGCACAAACACTCACCCCCAGCCATACAAAAGTACTTTTTCTCCCACCCACATTCCATACTATCATATGGAATACAGCCATACTGGCCATGGCTGTCAAATGGATCTGCCATATCTTGAGTCAGGCAGCGGAATGGACTCATCACCTTTTCCAAGTCCCTGATAAGCCTGACATTCATGCTTTCCTGAGGCACTCAACTCTGTAGAGATCCAACTATAATGTAGCTGCAAATTCAGGGCTCCTCCATCTGTCTTCACATCTCTGCTCCCCAACTCTACCAGCTCTGACTGAGACAGGGGGACAGCTCAATGAGTAGTGGGGAAAGTTTCAGGCTGTTAGTTGAGTGGCTGAATGAACACCAAGGAGCATGAGCATGCCACTGAGGTGTGCCACCAGTGAGAACAGGTATTAACTATTCCCCAAGTGATCCACTCACTGCCTATGAAACACTGGTAAGAGGCCAGCCATGTCTGGAGGACTCAAGTATATTTCTCTTCCCACCCAGGTTTAACACTATCATCAAAGAAACTCCACATATATACACAGAGCTCCCTAAAGACCCTGTGCAAACTCCAATCACTGCAATTATTAAGAAAACTGTAACCACATTTTTACTTGTTTTTCACCCCAAACAAGGTGACAAACCTTTGAAAAGGACTTATTTACTGTTATATCCTAGATACCTGGCTGAATGCATAGCACACAGCAGGCTCAAATTTTTACTAATAAATAAAGGAAGGAAGGAATGATATTTTAAACAGGATCAGTCTACACTCAGAGAGAGAACGAATGTTTGACTACTTTGAAGACTGAAAGGATACCACAAGCCCTACCAATTCAAGAATTTTTCCTCTATCAGCCTTTCAAATTCTTATCATGGCTATTATCATTACAATAGCTAACATTTTTTGAATTACATGTGCCAGGCATTGTTCTAAACACTTTAAAAAATATATATATTATTTCATTTAATCCTCTCTACAACCCTAAGATGTTTAGCTATTATTATGTCCCATGTTTCAAACAAAGGAAACTGAGACCCAGAGACATTAAGTAACTTTCCCAAGGTTACACAGAAAGGGAGCAGTAGAGACAGGATTTGAATATAAGGAGCTAAACCCAAGAACCAGCGTTCTTAACTTCTATAGTATCCTGGTCACCACTAGTCCCTCCTTCAGCTTGAAGCACTAGAAGTGGGAGGGAAGACAGGGAGATTAAACACATTTCAACTGTGATCCACTGGCAGTGGTTACTTGCACAATATACTGAATTGTGGATCGTAACAAACTTAAATTCTTTAAGAGATGGGAATACCAGACCACCTGACCTGCCTCATGCCTCATGAGAAATCTGTATGCAGGTCAGGAAGCAACAGTTAGAACTGGACATGGAACAACAGACTGGTTCCAAATAGGGAAAGGAGTACGTCAAGGCTGTATACTGTCACCCTGTTTATTTAACTAATATGCAGAGTACATCATGGGAAACACTGGGCTGGAGGAAGCACAAGCTGGAATAAAGATTGCCAGGAGAAATACCAATAACCTCAGATGTGCAGATGACACCACCCTTGTGGCAGAAAGAGAAGAACTAAAGCGCCTCTTGATGAAAGTGAAAGAGGAGAGTGAAAAAGTTGTCTTAAAGCTCAACACTCAGAAAACTAAGATCATCGCATCTGGTCCCATCACTTCATGGCAAATAGATGGAGAAACAGTGGACACAGTGAGAGACTTCATTTGTTTGAGCTCCAAAATCACTGCAGATGGTGACTGCAGCCATGAAATTAAAAGATGCTTGCTCCCTGGAAGAAAAGTTATGATCAACTTAGACAGCATATTAAAAAGCACAGACATTACTTTGCCACAAAGGTCTGTCTAGTCAAAGCTATGGTTTTTCCAGTAGTCATGTATGGATGTGAGAGTTGGACCGTAAAGAAAGCTGAGTGCTGAAGAATTGATGCTTTTGAACAGTGGTGTTGGAGAAGACTCTTGAGAGTCCCTTGGACTGCAAGGAGATCCAACCAGTCCATCCTAAAGGAGATCAGTCCTGGGTGTTCATTGGAGGACTGATGCTGAAGCTGAAACTCCAGTACTTTGGCCACCTGATATGAAGAACTGACTCATTGGAAAAGACCCTGATTCTGGGAAAGACTGAAGGTGGGAGGAGAAGGGGATGACAGAAGATGAGATGGTTGGATGGCATCACCAACTCAATGGACATGAGTTTGAATAAACTCTGTGAGTTGGTAATGGACAGAGAGGCCTGGGGTGCTGCAGTCCATGGGATTGCAAAGAGTCGGACACAACTGAGCAACTCAACTGAACAGAACTGATACTGAATTGAGAAGTCTGAGGTCATGACTGGGTTCCACATGAGAGTGATGAGATAATATAATGAGTCTTCCATGGTAAGCAGATGGAAGAGAAGCTACATATTCACCCTCCCTGGTAGAGCATATTAAGCCAACTACTCAGATATTAGTCCAGGTTCACTTTTCAGAGAAACAGAGTCATAAAGCCTGAGCAGGCTAGAATTGCAAATGCCCTGAGAGATCACCCTATGGTGCTCAGAGAGGTGACCCAAAACCACAAAAGCCGTAGCCTTCAATCCAGTTCTAACTCCAGGCACAGTACCATTTCTGCCTCATGGTTGGTTGATACTCAGAATGAGAAAAGACAGAAGCTAGGTTAGCTCCAAAAGGGAAAGGGGATCAGGAAAGATTCAGCACATGGAATAAGGAACCAGTGAGGGGACTTCTGGGAAGGGTCAGACCTCTGGGCACCAAGAGGCAAAACCTGGGGGTGGGACCTCATCCTGCAGTAAACAGCACACTCTAAATACAAACTTTATCAGAATAAACCAGCTCATCTGGGAACAGAACTGGCTCTGCCTCAACAGGCTGTAAGAGCATGAACAAATTGACCCCACCAATTTTCTCATCTTAGCTGCCTTGGGATATATACCATGGGGGCCAAATGAGATTGTAGGTACTACTTGAGAATAGTCTTGTTTAAACTTGGATAAAATACATTTTAAAAATGTATTCCCAACATGAATAGATTCATCTTGGACATTTTCACTTCTGTTAAAGATTTGGGAGAGAAAATAGAGTTATCAGGGCTATTTAAAAAGACAAGTAAAATTTTTGGCAACTAGTATTAATATTTTAATAAGGAAAGTATTGACACAGATGAGTCACAGATGCTGAACAAATTTTCAATGTCAGGTACTGGGAAAGCAAATAAAGTGGGATATCTTACACAAACCCAGAAAGGCTGATAATCCTTGAACAAATGAAGAAGAGACAAGAAGGAACAAGGAATAAAGATGGAGAATCCAGTCAGCAAATAAATGAGAGCAGTTCTGAGAAGCAGGAGGTACATCTCAAGGCCAGAGAAACTCTAACCTGGGAAAGTAACCAATAAAAACTTGCCAAACACCCAAAGTAGGCTTTCCCACCACCTTTCTTCACACTGGAGACACCTTCGTCTCCACTACACAGAGAAAAGAGAAGGTGCAGCTCCAGAGGCACTGCATGGCTCATAAGCACTTCTGAGGCCAGTCACCAGAGATCCTGTGAGATTCTTTTTTCTGAGCGATCACACACTACTCCAAAGGACAATCTGGAGGAGAGAAAGTTGAGTTATACACAATGTGTCTAAAGGAAATACAGTAGAGATGTTAGGAAGGAGCTCAGATCCTAGAATCAAACTGACCAGGATTCATGACCCCTGAGAATCACAGAACTGACATGTGCTGTAAACAAGATAATGAATAGTGTTAATAATAAACATTCAGTAAATATTAATTGATTTCTTGTCTCCCTTTTTTCCACAAAATACTTCATTTATGATTAGAGTAAGTTTTGGACATGGTAAATTTGAGCTGCCTTTTGCACATCTAAGTGGGGTTGTCAAGTAGGCAAGTGGATACTAGGGCCTGGAATTTACAGGCAGGAAATGGTTAATAAGTTGGGGGAAGAAGAAGAACCAACAAAAGAGATGAGAAAACTGCCAGTGAGGCAGGAGGAAAACCAAAAGGGTGTGGTGCCCAAGAAGCCCAGTGAAAAGATGGTTGCAAAAAAGAAGGAATGAACAATTGTATCAAATACCGCTAATAAGTAAGATAATATTAATGTGGCAAGCCAGCGCAATTATGCAAGGAAATGAAATGAAAGGCATACAGATTGGAAAGAAAGAAATAAAACTATCTCTATTCACAAATGATATGATCTTGTACATACAAAATCCCAAGGAATCCACTAAAAAATTAGAAGAATAAAGGAGTATAAGAAGGTTGCAGAATATAAGGTCAGTATACAAAAGCAATTGTATTTCTGTACACATGCAGTGAACAATTCAAAAAAAATTTTTTTAATTCCATTTACAATAGCATCAAAAAGAATTAAATATTTTAGGAATAAATTTAACAAAAAGAGTGAAAAGCCTATACCCTAAAACTATAAAACACAATTGAAGGAAATTAAAGAAGACCTAAATAAATGGAAAGACCTCCAGTGTTCATGAATTAGAAAATTAATACTGCTGAGGTGACAATTCTCCTCCAAAATCTTCTACAGATTCAACACAATTTCTATCAAGCTCTCAGCTGCTGCTTTGCAGAAAGGGGCAAGCTGAACCTAAAATTTTTAAGTGCAAGGGATCTAAAATGGCCAAAACAATCCTGAAAAAGAAAGGAGTTGAAAAACTCAGGTATCCCAATTTCAAAACTTATTTGCATACGTGCTCAGTCACTCAGTTGTATCCGACTCTTTGCAAACCCCTGGACTGTAGTCTGCCAGGTTCTACTGTCCATGAGATTATCCTGGCAATAACACTGGAGTGGGTTGCCATTTCCTCCTCCAGTGGATCTTCCCAATCTAGGGATCAAACCTGCATCTCCTGCGGCTCCTGCATTGGCAGGTGGATTCTTCTACCACTGAACCACCTGGACGCTTACTACAAA